GTTGTGGTTCCATACGAGGGCTTCCATCTTGTCTTGGGCTTATATTCATACTGGCAGTTAGCTGGGGCATTTTCCGTGTATTCTCAAGATTGGGGGCACTGCTCGCTGGCTCTTTCCTGCCCTCTAGTGGTTGGCAGGGACCTGGAGGCGTGGCGCCACCTAGTGGCGGGCCAGTGCTGAAGCGCACAGCCAGACTGTCTCCAAAAAAGGAGTAGAGTTCACAGTACATGGCAGGAAGAGATACAGGAGTCCACTCTTCCCATGGGCAGCCAGCTCCACCTGCTTGGAGATGGCTTGCAATGCCAAGAGGGGGTTCTGAAAGAGGTTCGGAAGGTGGGCTGAGGCCAGGCGAGTTTTCTCTGAAGCCGACAGCCCCTGTGGTAGTGCCTGGTAGACCTGCACCGCTTCCTTCTGCTGCCAAGGTCAGACTGAGAGCCTTCATCTTCAGCAAACGCTCTACCGCCACCTTCAGGGAGGAAAGTAAAGTGGTCACTTGACTTTAGAGGTTTAGATAAGAGACATTTAGGCTGGGCTAATGAAGCGTTGGATGGAAGGTAGTGTCAATAATGAAAATGAAATCTCAATATAGCTTTTAAACACTGCAATTTAATTAAATAAATATATGCACATCATGTTTCAAAATGAAGAGCGGCACTTTGTTCTTTTACACGTGAGCAGCTCATGAATCTGGTGTTTTTTTAGTTTTCCAGAGTGGGTCTCTTATAACTTGCAACTGGGAACACAAAATGCTCAAACCATCTTTCCAAACTTCCAAGTTGTTGTAAACAAAAGAGCAGCTTTAAGGACTCTCTGTGGTTTCCAGCAAAATAAAAGATGAGTACAAACATAGAACTTGAATAAATCAATACATTTATATCAGCATCCTGGAAAGAAACATATGCACCACAGACATTGTCTAAAGTACTGTACTTACCAAAATGGCTCCATAGACTTTGTGGCCGTCTGCTTTCACCTGAGCGTTGGACACAGAGTAATCATCTAACACAGCTTGTAGATTCGCCCAATAGGCAGGGAGGTGAGGATACAGCACACGTTCAACAGCCTGTGTTAAAACACATACACACAAACAGTGTGATAATTAGTAGTAAAAAGCACATTTGTGTTTGTGGGTGTTGTGCTGTCTGTGTTTACCTTCCAGCCGAGAGCATGCAGACCCACTACAGCTCCATAGTGGGAACACAGAGGTCTAACCGGATCGGAGAGAACCTTCTGCAGAGACAGAAGGATCTGATGGTACAGCCCACTCACAAGATCACCATGTGTCCTACAAGTCAACAACAACAAAAAAACAATCAGTCAGACTAGTGTTTGAACTGGATCGATTGATTATAGTTTCAGCTTACCAGAACACTTACTATAAAAGTTCATAATGTAACAAGTATTACTTTACTGTAGGATGCTAAAGAAATACCAGAAGATGTGGCTGAGCAGAAGGGCTGCATAGTCTCTCAGGGTCCAGTGGTCATTGAGGGGGTTGATGGAAGCAGCCAGAGGCTCCAGGATGCAGTACATGACACTGGACACCAGACTGCGCACGTATGAGCCCAGGTACAGGTACGGGTTCTGCACCAAACTCTTCACCATGTGTAGGAGTCTGTTTAACTGGTCCAGATCATGACTTACTGACTTTACCTAAGAAAGACAATCATACATTATGAATCAAGGTGCACATTTTTACAGTAATTACAAAAAAGGTCATTATTATATAAGGAAATATTTGACTTTGTATGCCATGGACAAACTTACCCCACTGATGACGTAAACAAAGTAAGGCAGGAGGGCAGCGATCTTTGAATTGGACTGGAGGTCTAGCAAAGCCACCTGATGGAAAAAGAAAAACATTATTATACTAGCAAGAGAAAACACTAGACACATTAATAAAACAAATACACTACAGTTAAAAAGTTTTGGGATGGTATGATTTTTTAAAAAGGCTTGTAATGTTTTAAATGCCATCTCTTATGCTCATTGGGGTTGCTTTTTTAAAATTAAAAATACAGTAAAAACAGTAATATTGTGAAATATTATTACAATTGATAATTTACAAAATATTATATTTTTATTTTAATATATTTATCTCTGTGATGGCAAAGCTGATTTTCAACAGCCGTTACACTCCAGTCTTCAGTGTCCCAAGATCTTTCAGAAATAATTCTGACAAAAATAGGCTGATTTGCTGCTCAAGAAACATTTCTTATTAATATCAATGTTGTAAACAGTTGAGCTCCTTAATATTTTAGTGGAAAGCGTGCTACATTTTTTCAAGATGCTCTGATGAATAGAAGGTTCAAAAGTTGTTTAGGATGTTTGCTTCTTTTTGTTGCAATTATTATTATTCGTTTTTTTCCTGTTAATAGAAATGCCTATACATAAAGTATTCAAAAAAAATGTAAGTACCTTCATGAGATGTGGGTCCTCTCCTAAAATGGCTCGTGTTATTTGTTGGTAATACTTCAGCAGATCCTCTGATAGAGACTGAACAGCAGTGGGCACTAATAAGACAACACAAATAAACCAACACAGAATAGAGCTGGGTGAACTACTGAAAACTTACAGTATGCTATCAGATAAGTCAATTAAAATAAACAGAAATTAAGATATTTGAGGTTTACCTGTGCCTTGAGGTTCCAGATTGCCTTTTCCATCAAGATATGACACATGCACTGCCAATGACACAAAGCAGATATGTCTTTGTTAAAAATGCATGATAGTAAACTTGAAAACATTACACTAATGATACCCGCCATACCTCGAACCATCGTCTCTGCACAGCCTTTGGGGATGTTAGTAGCAAGCGCCAACTCCACCAGATTTATCTCCCGATCCTCTACAAAGAAAAGCTCTCCTTCCTTTAATGGACGGAACGGTAGGGCATCTTGTGCACCATAGCCGCAAATAGTCTAGAATACATGCAGCAGGTGTAATGCTGTTCTCCAGATGTTGAAGTGTAACAAACACCACCACAATGCAAATTAACATTAAAAACTCTTTCAAACAGAATGGCGAATATATATACCTCAGTATTGCTCCACCGTAGCGCTCTGTTCAAGTCTTCCACGCTCAGCTTCCTTCTCTTTGCGTGTCTCATGAACTGTGAGCTGTTCTGTAGTGGGACAAAGAGATGAACAGACTTTATGGCAAAATGTTTGACACTTTACAAAGTCTTTTATTACAAATGCTTTAGGAGAATATAAACACATGCAGGCAAAATAACAACTACAAAACTTAAGCAGGAAACATTTTAAGGCAGTAGCACAAATCAGCACAGCTTTAAAGCAATAATTAGGTGCGTGTGAGCATGCATCTCTTATGCAGTAGTATCCATCAGCACAACAAAGAACAAGACATCTACATGTACAAGAGCATGAAATGCATTTCAGATAACAGTTATAATCTGAAATCTGGAATAACAGCACATATTACTATTGCTTTAAAGAAATAAGACAGGTGCATGTATGAGAGCACGGCGGTAAAGTTAGTTTAAACATCAAGCGACTTGAATGGCCTTGCTGAGACCGTAGAACCCATCAGAACAGCTTGCAGGGGACATTCAAACACAGCCATATACAGTAGCACGCAATGCATGTAATTATAATACATCTGATGAACTCGTGAAGTCGTATGTGACCTGTGTTGCCTCTCTGAGGCGGTAGCACACATCCTCCGCCAGCAGAGCTGCCACCTCCTCGCTGAGCTCTACTCCGCTGCTCTCGGCCATTAGTTTGATGGATTCCCGGGGCACCTCCGCGAAGCGCCGTTCCTCCCTCTCGGTCATCTTTACGATACCTTCCTATTGACGACGTATCGGTTCACGTATACAAAGTTACATTTATTTTATTATACTTTACCAGCATTATATGCCTGCATTAGCACAAGCAGCTAAGCTCTCCGGACTGTTTATTCAACACACTGGTGGTGAACTCGTGGGAGGCGCCTGATTGGCTTGAACTCCGCGCATGCGCATCTATGCTGGGCTCAGAGATTGACTCATTTTAGAATCGATTCATCAAGTGATCTTACATGGTTTCCATTATCAGTAATGAAAGACATTAAAAATGAAAAGCTAAGTTAACTAATTTTATGCCAACTTGTTCTTCCGTCAGTGTTACGCTATAAAGCCAAAAGTACTTTGGCAGGTAGTGGAGAAAAACCCTAAATCCTCTGGTACTATTATATTTTTGTAGGGTAGAAGGGTCTTAATACTCAAAAGCAGCCTTCAACATACATCAAAAGTGAGATTCCCTGAACCCCCGCACATAATACTGCTACTAAAATTATTAAAAGTTAATTTAAGGAATATTTACAGAATAGTTTTTCATATTTTAATGTTAATAGTAAATAACCTTCGTTTGCCAAAAATAAAATTAATTTCATTTTCATTTAGTTTAAAGATGAATTAAATTAATGTTTTATGCCCTCAATTGATAAGCAGAAAAATGTAAATACAAAACAGAATTTCTGAGTGGAATTTTTTTTATATATAGGCTATTGTAAAAATAAATTTTAATAAATTAAGTTTTAAGTATTAAGTATTAAGTATTATTTGCATATAAACCCCCCCCCCCCCCCCCCCCCCCCGCCACAAAAAATAAAAACTGACATGGCCTCGGTCAATATCAGGGCTACAGTGTCACAGAATGTTGTTTACTTTATGAAGAACAATCATGTCAAGTTAGTAAGTCACAAAATAAAAACTAACCCACACAAAATCCTTTTAGGAGGTTTTATTGAGCGCAAAGAATGCTGATGAGTCTCAAATAATTTAAAGTCATTGTTTAAAAGTCCATAAGTTGGAAACCTACATATATATACACACAAAAATGTCTCAAGTTACACTTAAGGGGCTTCATGCAGTCAGTCAAAAGTGGCCTCAAGTACAAGACAGACTTGAATTAAGAAAATAAAGCAAACATTTGAGAATCGGTCTCAAAAGGCAGTTAAAATAAGTTGCAAAGGGACACTGTACACAACTAAATAAAAACGACGTTAAAAATAAATTGGCACAGTACAGTCACAGTTAAAGCTTACAGCGGTTAGCTTCTGGGATCATCTTGCCACAGACGTCACGACAGCGGCTTATCCAGAGCATCTTAAGGACCAGCATTGGCAGCGTTCTCCAGCTGCTGGAGCCGAAGGGCCAGGGGGAGCAGAAGATCATTCAGATGTTGGCTGCTGAAGGTGAAAGCATTGTTGGCTACCGCTTCTACCGATGGTGGGGTGACTGGACCAGAACCGTCAGGGTACACCGGCGAAGCAAATGCAGATGGAGGGGACAAGGACGGTGGAGAGCACGTGCCTGAGGCAGGTGAAACAGATCCCCCATTGGTCATCTGATGAGGCCAGGATGTGTGGGTTGAGTTGACACCTTTGATCGAGTTGGGAAGCCCATGTTGGAATCGACAACGGGTGCCATAGAGACAGAAACCAAAAGCGCTGAAGGTGCAACAGAGGGCACCAAGAGGCTTCCACTCTTGGGAAGGTAACGAAGGTTGGCAGGTTCGCTCTTCCTCTCTACCATCGGATTCGGAACCACCCTCAACATGCAAGAAGTGGCATCTGGTACCGAAGGGGCAAACCCCAAATGCACGAAAGGTACGGCAAGGCACGTTCCTGCGCCGTTGACGGACAGGCCTCTTCTCTTTAAGGCCGTGCACGAAGAGACACCGTGTGCCATAGACACAGTAGCCAGCAGTGTGGTAGGTACGGCACAGCTCGGTTTTGTACTTGGGATGACGGGAGGGTACGTGGAGATCGTGGAGGCCGTGGGCGAACTGGCAGCGTTCGGTATACTTGCAGGTACCCGTCTCAGCGTAGCGGCTGCACAGTTCTGTCTTGTAGCGGGTGGAGCAGAGCCAGGGCGTCATCGGGGGTGATGGGGACTCAACCAGGGGAAGCAAGGCCTCAGCAAGAGACAACTTCCCACCGCCTAAACCCTCCTCGGGGAAGAAAGCCTCATTCTGGCCTTCAGTGGGGAACAGAAACAGGTCATCTTGACTAGTCTGGAAAAAAACCAAAGTACAAGTAGCCTTTCAAATTCACCTACTCCCAAGATATTTAAAAAGGCATTTTACCACTGCCTAGAAACCATAAACTAATTGTCATAACTTCTAGTGCATTGCTTAGAAACCATAGTTTATGCATTTTTAGAAGCCATAGTGAATCATTACACTGCCTAAAAACCATTGCAATATTAAAAATCACACACACACACGTTTATCAGACACTTATCCAAAGCCAACAGTAACTATAATATAGCCTACATGCCAGGTCTAGTTAAGTTTTCACATTTACCATTGCCTAGAATCACTAGCAAATTTACAACTTCAGTTACTAGAAATGGTAATACACACTTCAGTGACCCAAAGTAAAAAGCTACTCCATAACGTTACTTTGAGATATTTTTAAAATAATTAGACGCAGATCATGGTGACAAAAGAACGAAACTGAAGACAAGACAACAAACAAGCAACTTACCTCAAACATTTTAGACAGCTTTACAAAACTCAACAACAGCTCAACACAACGGGGTCTTTTGTCGTTTAAAAAGTGAGGCTAAACCCGAATGCACTCCGGACAAACACCTGACTCCGTTACCCTATTCCAGATAAAAGACGCGGACTACACCCAGTGCCTGGCAACAACTGTTCGCCCTGTTGTTTTAAAGCTGACCCAGATTCCGTTCCCGAGTCCCCTTTAAAATATGAATCAGCTGTGAAGCGTTCGAATCGTTGAACGTTCGAATCAGCCAATCAGGTTTGGCTGAGGTGACCGACAATCTAATTTGGAACTACTCTGAACTGATGATGGGTTTGTCTGCTGTGGGTGTTTTCAATTTGATCAAATTGGGATATTGCCGGTGCCTTGTAGGGTCTACTGGAATAAACATCTGACAAGTAGCTTGTTAGTCGACTTCAAAGGGCGAACTCCGAATATACACACAGGCCCATCCTGTATCAAATACCGCATCACACCTCGAGTTGTTAATTGAGCGTTTGTGTGTGAAGTGCAGATCGGAGTCGTATTAAGGCTTGAGATGAGGATATACATTTCCCGCAAACAAGCAATGGACCATTACAATCTTAAATTACGCCACTTACTTTAAAAGGAAACAACCAAATTTTGGCAGCAGATGCAATTTCAAACGAGTTTATTAGCTATATTAAACGTTATATATAACTACATATATATATATATATATATTTTTTTTTTATGTGAAAGTTTTGACTGATTTGGACGAGTCTGGCCTTAAATCAAAGTAGAATTTTATATTAATGTGCTTATGGCAAGCTGTTTTAACATTTAATCTATAATCCGCGCTAGTATCTAATTTAACGTTACTAGTACTTATATTTTAGATATTAGTATCTTTTCCATTAAGTACTAGTGCTTATTCTTTAGGTACTAGTGTCTTTTGTAAAGTTACTAGTACTTAATCATTAGATACTAGTGCTTATTTATTACGTACTAGTACTTATTCATTAGATACTAGTACTTATTGATCAAATACTAGTACTTATTCATTAGATACTAGCACTTATTTCAATAGTGACTAGTAACTATTATATTGCCACTAGTAACAAATTAAAATTTGTGCTATTGACTTTTATGGGGATCCGTCATATGGCAAGCCGGTTTAACATTTAATCTATAAGCCGTACTAGTATCTATTTTCTTGGTACTTAAGGATTTGCAAATGTTTACCTCAGTGTTCATAATTATTTTTGCAGTTTTTACTCAAATTAGGGTTTTGTGAGCAATAATGAGTACTCAGTTAATGTAATTTCTTTTTCATTCATACTCGTGGCCGGAGGGGCCCTTGCACAGAAACTCCCCAAGTGAGACTCACTGATGACGTTCCAGGAAATCCCTTATTTGGACAAAGACATTCAGCTTTCGCTGTATGTAGCCTAGTAGCTGAATAACATTTACTGATGAAACATGAAGAAAATAAACAATGACTGCGACAACATATGGTTTTATCTGTGCTCTTCAAGCCATCTCGGGTATTTTTATAAGAATAAAGTTTAAAATGCAATGCTAATCGATATAGCCTTTATCACTGTATAGAATGATATAAATTGGCATGATTTCGGCCTCATTCTTTATAATGAAACCATGTCAGATTACAATAATAAGTTATTTCAAAGACTCGATGTTGTGAAGTGAATTTGGACTCAAACATATCATTATACTTTTGTTGGGGTTAAGAAAAAATAGAACTAGTACTTGTTTTTTAGTTACTAGTAACGTTTTAGACCAGAGATATCCTGAACTTAATAGATACTAGTACTTTTTAAATGAGCATTTCTGCCCAGCATGGTAATCGTATGTTGAATATTAATGAGCCGGCAACATATAGGAGAGAGATTAGGCAGGAAACAGAAACAAGAAGATGGATGTACTTTTTTGAGGAAACCACATAGAAAAGAAACAATTATTTGTACACAAGCACATAGAAAACATATTTTTGTCAGTTTTGTAAACATTGTAATTTCGTAAACATAGTAGTAGCCTAATGTGTTTGTTGGTCATCGAGTGACCTCTAGTGGCAGGATGGAGATAAGACACCAATTTTATTGTCTGTTATTTTCCTACTTTCCCTCCAGTAAAAACAATATCATACCAGGGCTGTATGTTAACTTTGTTTGCATATAGCACTGATAATGCAGACAGTGAATGTTTTTACATTAATGCTCTGTACAGGTCACACTGGTGCTGCAGACACTGAATGTTTTTACATTAATGCTCTGTACAGGGCACACAAAATCCAAACCTTATGGTTTTCAGACAAACATTTTCTTTATTTGGAAAAAAAGGCCAAAAATTATTAATAAATTAAAAAAGAAACAACAGGTTTGCTGTACTTGTAGGGCCGCACAATTTGGCCAAATGTTGTTTTTATCTATCAATAAAACTAATAATGATTATGGTTATTATTTCTAAATAAAAACATTACACAAAATAAGGAATATTATTTTTGTAATAACACTATTTCACTATAATATACAAAACTGAGTATTTAAGAATAAACATAATAATAAATATATCTGCAAGAAAAATAAAAAAAATGTACACTTCACCCTGGAGAAAAACGTAAGGATTTGCAAATGTTTACCTCAATGTTCATAATTATTTTTGCAATTTTTACTCAAATTAGGGTTTTGTGTGAGTACTCGAGTACTCAGTTAATGTAATTTCTTTTTCATTCATACTCGTGGCCGGAGGGGCCCTTGCACAGAAACTCCGACTCACTGACTCACTGATGACGTTCCAGGAAATCCCTTATTTGGACAAAGACATTCAGCTTTCGCTGTATGTAGCCTAGTAGCTGAATAACATGCAGATAGACGTTTTACTGATGAAACATGGAAGAAAATAAACAATGACTGCGACAACATATGGTTTTATCTGTGCTCTTCAAGCCATCTCGGGTATTTTTATAAGAATAAAGTTTAAAATGCTATGCTAATCGATATAGCCTTTATCACTGTATAGAATGATATAAATTGGCATGATTTCTGCCTCATTCTTTTTAATGAAACCATGTCAGATTACAATAATAAGTTATTTCAAAGACTCGATGTTGTGAAGTGAATTTGGACTCAAACATATCATTATACTTTTGTTGGGAAACAGGTTTGTAATCTTTCCTTGTGTTTTCATGGAAAACCAATTAGCAAGATAGGCTAACATTCAAAGCCAGTTAGCCTTACTTAACAATCAAATTATTTCTGCATATTAATGTATTGTGTTACCATGTGGACTCTGATTGGATGGTGGAGAGGTACTCATGTTTATGTAATGATCTGTTTAAATGAAGATATCTCCAAATACATTCTCACTAGTTCTTTATGAGGTTGAAAATATATCCAAATGAACAAGGAGAAGTAGTTATTTTGTTTTTGATATCATCTTTTAATTTCAGACTAATAATTACTGCAATAGTGACTAGTATCTGAAGTACTAGTATCTAATGAATAAGTACTAGTATCTAATGAATAAGTACTAGTATCTAATGAATAAGTACTAGTATCTAATAAATGTGTACTAGTATCTATTGAATAAGTTCTAGTATCTATTTAATAGGTACTAGTATCTAATGAATGAGTAATAGCTTCTAACAAATAAGCACTAGTACATAATAAGTACTAGTATCTAATAAATAAGTACTAGTATCTAAAAAATAAGTACTAGTATCTAATGGACAAGCACTAGTATCTAATTATAAGTACTAGTACCTGATGAATAAGTACTAGTGTCTATTTAATAGGTACTAGTATCTAATGAATGAGTACTAGTATCTAAAAAATATGTACTAGTACCTAATGAATAACTACTAGTGCATAAAAATTAAGTACTAGTCACTAGTGGAATACATACTAGTCAAAACTGAATAGTTGATATCTCAATGACGGATCCCCATAGAAGTCAATGGCAAAAATGTAATAGTAACAATATAATAGTTACTAGTCACTATTGAAATAAGTAATAGTATCTATTTAATAAGTACTAGTCTAAATGCAATAAATACTAGTATATTCTTTAGGTACTCTAGTATCTAATAAATAAGTACTAGTACCTAATAAATAAGTACTAGTATCTAATGAATAAGTACTAGTAACTTTACAAAAGACACTAGTACCTAAAGAATAAACACTAGTACCTAAAGATTAAGCACTAGTAGATAAAGCATAAGCACTAGTACCTAATGAATAAGTACTAGTACTTAATGGAAAAGATACTAGTATCTAAAAAATAGGTACTAGTACCATGAAAATAGATACTAGTACGGCTTATAGATTAAATGTTACTACGGCTTTCCATATCCGTCATTGAGATATAAAGTATTCAGTTTTGACTGAGTAGTTATTCATTAGGTACTAGTACGTATTTTTAGATACTAGTACTCATTCATTAGATATTAGTACCTATTAAATAGACACTAGTACTTATTCATTAGATACTAGTACTTATTATTAGATACTAGTACTTATCCATTAGGTACTAGTGCTTATTTTTTTTAGAAACTATTACTCATTCATTAGATACTAATACCTATTAAATAGATACTAGTACTTATTCAATAGATACTAGTACACATTTATTAGATACTAGTACTTATTCGAAATGTTACTAGTAAGATTTTTTATTTTACTAGTACATTTTTTAATTGAACTCTAGCCATTTGGACTAGTCATAACATAAGACGAGTAAAAAAAAGCAGATCTGACTAGTAAGATAAGAATTGCAGGGGTTAAAGCAAGAATTTTTTCCGGGGGTTGTGGGGGCGGACACATATACAGGGTTATTTGGCAAACAAAAAAAGAAAATGATTTTCCTTGAAACTTACTAGTAACGTATCTACCATTGCCGTTAGCCCTTGACAGGCTCAGACTACAGATTGTGGAGGGATATTTGAAACAGCAATACCAAGAAAATTTACTCACTACAATATGGTGCAAACACATGTAACATTTAGGATGCTTTTGATATCCTAAATGTTTGAAGTTTTGCTGGTTAGATTTGTCCTTGACAGGGTACAAGATGACCTACAATTTAAAACATGAAATTTCTGAAATTGTTTTGTTCAAAAGAAATAATAGTAAATTAAATACTAGGAAATTAATATAAAATAGGAAATATGCAAAGACAGTTTACTCCAGAAAACTACAGTTCAGTTCAATTAACAACAACAAAAACATTAAAATGGTCCAAGAACTGGTAACTTAAACAGGGTTCGTACAGATACTGCAAAATAAAATCAAGGACTTTCAAGAACTTGCACTACTTTCAAATTTCAAATTTCTTTCAAATTCTAATAAATAAACTAATAAGCCAAAATGGTACAAATAAAGTGCAGCACATGCAAAGAATGCAATGACTGTGGCAACTTTAACATTTGTAAAGATACTATGGCAAAGTTATCACTTTCCTTATTCAAACTGATTTTTTTGATGAATATATGATTGACCTCAAGAATGAAAGCTATATCATACACTTGGAAAATTATGAGTTTTATCACACTCATAGACACTAGGGTTGTGACAATACACTTAGCTCACAAGGTGAGACAAAATGCAGATACTTGGTTCAATAGAACGAGACAATGTTTTAATACTTTAAGACATTTTCAAAGGACAAAATATTTGTCTTTTAATCACAAAAAGTAAAACAAGGCACTTGTATTTTGAAATGTTTTAACTAATCTAGTGCTTAACTAATGATTATTTTGCTAAGAAAGTTATCTGATTATTTTGACAAGTGAGTAATCTGATATTTTTTGTAATACAATTTGAACTAAGTGTAAAACAGGCTTTAATATGACTATATTCATATATAAAGTAACAATGAGGCAATAATAATTGGCCTCAAATAAAGTATCAAAACCAAGTACATGGTTTTATTGAACAACACTGTTAAACACATAATGTAATATGCCTATATTATAACAAATACCTTCAGAGGGCGCAAACGGTCTGTTGAGGTTTCATGTGATTCAACAACGTTTAAATCCATTTAATTTTAAAATTTGGCCACATGCAATGTCAGAAACATTTATTTTGAAATCGCGATGTACAATAAATCACATATTTAGAAATATGTTGATGTATTCTCCTGTGTTGGCATAGGTTTAAATTATTTACGTTACAAATCAAGAGAGTTTTCCCAGATGAACGTTAAGCAACCCAAACAGTCTTTACTGGTAAATTACGAGATCATGTGTGAACAGACCTTTTCAAAAATAAATGCATTCTGGTGATCACCTCGTTCTTATGGAGATGACATGAATATTCTGAGCTGTCTACAAAGCTCCACTGCTTTTTTAATAGCTTTTCTATGTAAATATGATGCTAGATGGAAATCTTTGACCATTGCGCACCACTGACTCTGCCACGCCCCCCTAAAACGGCTCGTTCTAACACGCCCCCACATATCTAGGTCACTATGTGGGAATATTTGCATAATGCGCCCAAATGTTCATGCAAAGAAAGAAGGCGTGGTTTCAGTAACCGCAGTTAGTGTTGAAGCAGGGAGACGCTGAGACGCTGTGTGTTTCTAGGCGAAAGCAAAAGCACTTTATTTGGCCTTCCGAAAGTAGATGCATTTAGGAGATTACTTAATTACTTACAACAGAACAGCAATGCATTTTATGGACCGTTTCGTGAACCTAGGTGAACTGATGGTAAAACTAATGACATTATTTACTGTCTTTACATTTATTTTGAAAGCTGAAGCTCGCGATTATGGTAAGGGGAGTTACATTTCCGACGAGTGCTTGCGGTGTTCGGCCAATCACAATGCACTGGGTCAGCTGGCCAATCAGAGCAGACTGCGCTTGTCGGAAGGAGGGACTTTGTAGAAAACGAAGCATTTGAGAGAGGCGGGGCATAGATGACCTAGAATAATGTACAGTATTTGAAAAATAATGTGTTTTTTGAACATTAAAGCATGTCAACATATTCTGTTACACCAAATACACAAAATAATGATCTTTAAAAAAGCATCATATGACCCCTTTAATAGCATTGCGTTTTAAATATACTTTATTCTTATAAAAATATCCGAGATGGCTTGAAGAGCACAGATAAAACCATATATTGTCGCAGTCATTGTTTATTTTCTTCATGTTTCATCAGTAAATGTTATTCAGCTACTAGGCTACATACAGCGAAAGCTGAATGTCTTTGTCCAAATAAGGGATTTCCTGGAACGTCATCAGTGAGTCTCACTTGGGGAGTTTCTGTGCGAGGGCCCCTCCGGCCACGAGTATGAATGAAAAAGAAATTGCATTAATTGAGTACTCATTATTGCTCACAAAACCCTAATTTGGGTAAAAATAGCAAAAATAATTACGAACTTTGAGGTAAACATTTGCAAATCCTTCTGTTTTTTTCCAGGGTAGAGAAGCGTATTTTTATTTTTATTTTTCTTGCAGCTATATTTATTATTATATTTATTCTCAAATACTCCGTTTTGTATATTATAGTGAAATAGTGTTATTACAAAAGTAATATTCCTTATTTTGTTTAATGTATTTATTTAGAAATAATAACCATAAACATTATTAGTTATATTGATAAAAAACTAAATTTTGGGCCAAATTGTGCGGCCCTACAATTACAGCAAACCTGATGTTTTTTAATTATTTATTATTATTAACTTTTTGGCCTTTTTTCCAAATAAAGACAATGTTTGTCTGAAAACCATAAGGTTTGGATTTTGTGTGCCCTGTACAGAGCATTAATGTAAAAAGTTAGTTAGTCTGTAGCACCAATGCTATATGCAAAAAAAGTTAACATACAGCCCTGATATGATTTATTGTTTTTACTGGAGGAAAAAAATAGATAATAAAATTTGTGTCTTATCTCCATCCGGCCACTAAATGACCAACAAACACATTAGGCTACTATGTTTACAAAATTAGTGTTTACAAAACTGACAAAAATATGTTTTCTATGTGCTTGTGTACAAATGATTGTTCTTTTCTATGTGGTTTCCTCAAAAAAGTACATCCGTCTCCTCGTTTCCGTTTCCTGTCTAATCTCTCTCCTATATGTTGCTGGTTCATTAATATTCAATATACGATTAGCATACTGGGCAGAAATGCAAATTTAAAAAGTACTAGTATCTATTTAGTTCAGGATATCTGGTCTAAAAAGTTACTAGTAACTAAAAAATAAGAACTAGTTCTATAATTAAATACTAGTCACTATTGGAATAAGTACTAGTATCTAATGAATAAGTACTAGTGACTTTACAAAAGACACTAGTACCTAAAGAACAAGCACTAGTAGCTAAAGAATAAGCAGCATGGAAATAGATACTAGTATGGTTTATTGATTAAATGTTAAAACGGCTTTCCATAATGTGCTACATTAAGTTGCTATGTTGTTTGGCAACCCAATAATAAACATAACTTTTGAAGATTGATCTTAATTTATTAAATCAGCAAAGTGAAGCAATTGAGGATATGTGCTGAATTATTTCAACGCTCCTAAAGTTCACCTAAAAATAAAAAATCCTGTCATCATTTACTCACCCTCAAGTTGTTCTAAACCTGTACGAGTTTTCTCTTTCTTTAGTTGAACATAAAAGACAGAACAGTTGCTGGTCCCCATTAACTTGTATAGTATGGGGGAAAATACTATGGAAATAAATGGGGACCAGAAACTCTGGTTACCAGCATTTTCAAAATATCTTCTTTTATGTTCAGCTGAAGAAAGATAAAACTAATTGTGGGTGCAAATGACTTATTTGGGGTGAACTCTTTCATTGGCATTCCTTGAAACTTTTGGTCTTTATTTGACACCATATTTAATTTGTAATTATGAATGAAAATGAGGCAATAGCAAGTATTTTCTTAAGGTTTTATAACATGTAATTCAAAGCACATTTTCCAGTTTTGTCACAGGCATGTTTTTGGAAATATGTGTGGCTTTTAATGATGAGACCTTTTTTGTAATCAGGCTCTCAAAAAGTATATAACAATTTGGATATAGATTTATCGGCCAACATATCGGTTATCGGCTTTCAAAAATAAAGAATAATCGGTTATCGGTATCGGCCAAAATTTTCATATCGGTGCATCCCTAATTTTCAATGTTACATCGGTTAAAGGTGCAGTGTGAAATGCAACCAACAGCTCAGTCCCCCGCTCGCCCCTCCCTTTAGAGAAGCTATGGTGGCCGATACAGGACTAAAAGAGGTCTTCGGTAAAGACAGCAGAGAGCAATGAGATTTCTTTACAAAGGTAAATTAAATAATTATATTTACTTAATTTAATAAATCGATGTTATTGCGAAAATTAATGTACTTGTTCATTGTGTCAGTGATTTATTCGCAAGAACAACAAAGTGACGAAACGCGCTGCGTAGAGCAGTTTGTCCGTTTAGGGCTACTGTAGAAACATGGTGGCGACTTCCATGTAAGGGGACCCGCGGTGTATGTAGATATAAATTGCTCAGTCTAAGGTAATAAAAACATAACGGTTCATTACGTAAGAGCTTTATACACCTCTGAAAACATAGTTGTGTGTATTATATTGCATTTCTGTCAATAGATCGATGTAAATATTACACATTGCACCTTTAAATCATCCAAAGTTACACAACTGTACAAACCAGCCAGACATTCACACTTTACAACCTCATTTTCATTCACAAGAAACTAAAATAAATATGGTGTCTACCATGAATAACGTCCACTGCAAGTGCAAATAAATCAATACCCATGTAGCTACACTAAAGAAACATGAAACACTGCCTCATCAGGACCACAAAACAAAAGATCTTTATTTTCTTATCACAAGATACATTAAAGGATACAGAGACACTGGAATATAAAAAAAAAAGTTTGAGTTGTGAGTTGAAAGAAATTTCTCATTGACATACAAAACTCAAATCCTTCACATCCTTCAATCAAACCCTAAAATCAATCAGTCTTCCCTCTCCCAACTCTATCCCATAATGGAGAACAATGTTAACGGGGTTTTTTTCCCCCCAAGCTTTGCCAAAACATTGTGAGGTAACGAACCCCCTTCATAAAAAACGGGTGACAATTAAAAGGGGACATGTTAACATTTATTTGTGTCTTTAGTGTGCAGTGCACGCTCCACTTGTTTAAGAAACATTACAAAACCCCTAATCGGGGGAACGATTTACAATGAAATTTTGTGTTGACTAATCTCAACAAGCCAGGAAGTCTGTCAAAAAAGCCCAAACCGTTCAGCTCAAAAAGAAAAAGCTTAATCATAAGGCAAAAATATGCATCAATATCAGCCTATAATCGAGTCATTACTAGAAAAACTCAAACATCTCTTCCCTCTCATTATCTACAATTGCTAACAATAGCTTCCCAGTAGCCCACAAGACCTTTATAACACAAATGCGAGTGCGTCAACATGTTTGGAAAAAGAGCAGATGTGGAAAACAAACTTTTATGGCTTTGTTCATGATGTGATGTATGGAAAAGGCTCAATTATTGAGGTACAAAACAGGCCAAACTGATTGCGACATCCAATCACCTCAAACCAAGATTCACCTCACATTCATGAACACCTTCAACACTTTACTACAACCAGAAATCTTAAGTCATCAAACGTGTTTTCATACTAAGACCTACGAGACCTTCAAATATCACTGACTGGAGTAGCTACACTGCAGGAGATTTGGATCCATGATCACAAAAAAAAACAAAAAAAGATTTTGAGAAACCAGGTCGCTATCAATAAACACCAATTCGAGTGCAGATCTGCTGTAAAGCGAGCAATCATTTAGCTGCAATGCATTTCATGATACCATCTTTCCAGAATTCAGCTAGGCCTGAAACCACAAGTACTGGCTGAAATAAAATGAGCAGCGCAATCATTTATTTGTCTATATAGCATGAAAAAGGGTGATTTTTATTTTTAACATAAACAACCTAAGAAATTGAGAAAATTACGGTAAAAAGACCATGTACTCCCGCACACATTCAAATCCCACTTTCCATACACACAAGAATCAAACTCTTGAAAAATCCTGTTAATATTTATACAGATAACGACAGAACTGGAGAAAAATAAAGTGTGCTTTTCCACCATCTTAGAATGAACATGATTTGCTTTAAATTACACTGTTAAAAGGATTTGCAATTTAAAAAAAGCAACGGGACAGCAGGGCACCGAACCCTTAAACTATAACACTGGGAGTAAAATGCTATGAAGTGTGGTGTATGCTGGTGTAAGAGTATGGGGTATGTCATCATCCCGAGCACGTGAGTGTGGTGTGCGTATGGGATCTGGGGGGGACAACAGAAGACGAGGAATAAAGAAGAACAGCTGACGATGGTGGGTTTAACATGCTCTGGCAATGGATGTGGTCTACTGGAACATCGCTCAGTCCTCCAACACGATTGGCTCACTGGTGCTGGAGGGTATGATGGGTACGGGAAGCGGCCGGGGCGGCACGGGAAGTTTGATTCTGACTGGGAGGTGTGGTTTTCTGGCCGCCCGCCTCATCTCGGCCTGAGTGAGGTGTTTCCTCAGTGCTCTGTAAACCACAAATACGTGGAATTAGTCTCAGGAAATCGCAAAAACATGTGGATGGGATGTTTTGGAAACATACCTGGTGTCTTTCGTAGCCACAAACACCACTGGATTCGGAGCATCTCCTTGACTGACCTTCTGTCTCTTAATGACTGACTGGTTGGCTGCTCTCATTCCCAATGCGAATGGTCTTCCATTGGTGGACAAAGAATTACCCCCAGCCTGCAGCCAATGAGAGCGCTTAGATCTGTGTACACCGGTTTCTACCTGCGGGAAAGTTAACGTGTCTTTGTATGTGATACTCACATTGTCGAAGGGCCTCTTGCCCAGTAGGGCGGATGCGCTCCGAGGCTGGTTAACCTGGTTACGGTTGATAGGGGTTGGAGCACCTCGAGGGGCTTTGAGTTTCAAAGGAGCTTGAACAGCTGAAGAATAAAACGAGCACAATCACTCCAAATATTCAAATCTGTTACGTCAAATGATCAGTTTTCAGATATAACATCGTGCCAAACAGTTGACTTTTATGTCTCATCATTAAAGGCAATGTGTGTTAATTTTTCCCATGTTAAAATAGTTTTTCAATCCCTATTTTGGTTTTGATTGAATACTGAAGCCATACCCAATTCTTTAACTATATTGATGAGGGACGGTCGAGGAATAAGGCGGTTCTTCATAGCACTCTTTGCTGCTTTAGGAAGTCTTATCATACCTAAAAAGAGAAAAAGAAACGGTCAAAACATAAATCTGGAGATTAAAAAAACATGTTTATGCTACTGCATAAAAATTGAGGGAGAAAACAAGTTTGTATGTTTGCAATTGAATACTCACACTCTGCTTTGACAGCATTGGCATTAATGGAAGCGTAGGGGCGTCGAGCTGCTCGGCGGGACTGCAGGATGTCCTGGCACACCCGACGGGCGATTCGAGTGAGTTTAGTGGTCTGCAGGATGAAGGTCTGCCGATTTTTAGCCAGAAGTTTAGCTCTCCCTGCGCTGCTGGTAAACGGGGACATGCCCTGAACCTCCTGGCGGGTCATGTGACCACGTGGAGCTGCATCCTATTGGAAAGATATATGATGTTCAGTAATCGATTTGGCAATTTTAGAAATGTATAATTTAGCCACCAAGATGACTAATGAAACAAACTAAATTTCTCACTGTTGATTTTTGTATGCATTAAATATTTTAAAATACAGTAAACGGGTACATCAAAAAAAGACAGGGTTAACATACTGAGCCAGCTCTTGTGGCGCCTTCTAGTTGAGTAGGGGTCTTAAGACCACCATACTTCTTCCAGTAAATCCAACAGGATGCACAGAGTCGGCACTGCATGTTGGGAGGGCCCCATGCGTACCACTGCTGGGACTGGGCAGCTGGAGGAGTAGCAAGTCAAACAGATCATTATAATGCACAGGAATAATTGAGCTTATATTTGAATACTTGAGTTCACTCACTGTGGCAACTTTCACAACTGAGGCCTTTCTGGTAGCCAGTGGCACCATTCATGCCAGGTTTACTTCCAGGTGCATTGATCTGGTTGGGGTTGGGTTTGGTGCTGAAGGAGAGAACAAAATTTTGATTCTCAAACAGCAGACAAAAATGTATTACAGGAAAGAATTTGACAAGTTGAAGAAAAAATCTTAATCTAACCTAAACGTATACATACAACAGACTAGATAAATAGCTACTTTTCATTCTGTGCTAATATTGTGTTCATTAACAGTTTAACACACTACTATTGAAAAATATGGTGTCAGTAAGAGTTTTTTTTAAAGAAATTGTTTTCATTAGGGCCTCTTGCCCAGTAGGGCGGATGCGCTCCGAGGCTGGTTAACCTGGTTACGGTTGATAGGGGTTGGAGCACCTCGAGGGGCTTTGAGTTTCAAAGGAGCTTGAACAGCTGAAGAATAAAACGAGCACAATCACTCCAAATATTCAAATCTGTTACGTCAAATGATCAGTTTTCAGATATAACATCGTGCCAAACAGTTGACTTTTATGTCTCATCATTAAAGGCAATGTGTGTTAATTTTTCCCATGTTAAAATAGTTTTTCAATCCCTATTTTGGTTTTGATTGAATACTGAAGCCATACCCAATTCTTTAACTATATTGATGAGGGACGGTCGAGGAATAAGGCGGTTCTTCATAGCACTCTTTGCTGCTTTAGGAAGTCTTATCATACCTAAAAAGAGAAAAAGAAACGGTCAAAACATAAATCTGGAGATTAAAAAAACATGTTTATGCTACTGCATAAAAATTGAGGGAGAAAACAAGTTTGTATGTTTGCAATTGAATACTCACACTCTGCTTTGACAGCATTGGCATTAATGGAAGCGTAGGGGCGTCGAGCTGCTCGGCGGGACTGCAGGATGTCCTGGCACACCCGACGGGCGATTCGAGTGAGTTTAGTGGTCTGCAGGATGAAGGTCTGCCGATTTTTAGCCAGAAGTTTAGCTCTCCCTGCGCTGCTGGTAAACGGGGACATGCCCTGAACCTCCTGGCGGGTCATGTGACCACGTGGAGCTGCATCCTATTGGAAAGATATATGATGTTCAGTAATCGATTTGGCAATTTTAGAAATGTATAATTTAGCCACCAAGATGACTAATGAAACAAACTAAATTTCTCACTGTTGATTTTTGTATGCATTAAATATTTTAAAATACAGTAAACGGGTACATCAAAAAAAGACAGGGTTAACATACTGAGCCAGCTCTTGTGGCGCCTTCTAGTTGAGTAGGGGTCTTAAGACCACCATACTTCTTCCAGTAAATCCAACAGGATGCACAGAGTCGGCACTGCATGTTGGGAGGGCCCCATGCGTACCACTGCTGGGACTGGGCAGCTGGAGGAGTAGCAAGTCAAACAGATCATTATAATGCACAGGAATAATTGAGCTTATATTTGAATACTTGAGTACAGTATACAGTATATTTGAATACACACTCACTGTGGCAACTTTCACAACTGAGGCCTTTCTGGTAGCCAGTGGCACCATTCATGCCAGGTTTACTTCCAGGTGCATTGATCTGGTTGGGGTTGGGTTTGGTGCTGAAGGAGAGAACAAAATTTTGATTCTCAAACAGCAGACAAAAATGTATTACAGGAAAGAATTTGACAAGTTGAAGAAAAAATCTTAATCTAACCTAAACGTATACATACAACAGACTAGATAAATAGCTACTTTTCATTCTGTGCTAATATTGTGTTCATTAACAGTTTAACACACTACTATTGAAAAATATGGTGTCAGTAAGAGTTTTTTTTAAAGAAATTGTTTTCATTCAACAAGGATGCATTGCTCAAAATCGACACTAGAGATTTCCACATTGTTACAGAACACTGTTATTGTTCTTTTGAACTTTCTATTCATCAAAGATCTTAAAAAAAAAAAAAAGACCACAGTCTTGACAAAAATATTAAGCAGGTGTTTACAACACTGATAAGAAGAAATGTTTCTTGAACAGCAAATCAGCATATTATGATTTCTGAAAGATCATGTGACACTGAAGACTGCAATAATGGCTGCTAAAGCTACAGCTTTACCATCTCAGAAATAAATTACATTTTAAAATATATTCAAATAGAATACTTATTTTAAATTGTAATAATATCTCACTACATAAATATTTTTCATGCATTTATGATCAAATAAATGCAGCATGGTGAGCATAAGACACTTTAAAACTGTAACCCTCTTTAAAAAAAATATGGGATGCCAGTAGGGGCCCTTTATTAATGGACACCAATGTTGTAGTACATATTTGGAAAGTGCCACTTGAATTCATAAAAAGAAAAAAATAAAGTGCAGTGACACTAGATACTCACTAGGTGGGGATGTACACCTGCTTCAGCTTGCTGTCAGCCTCTGCTGCCTTTAGTCTTTTCTGGGGAGAAAAAATTGGTTTAAATAGCATTCGTATGCATGAATAAATGTTCACATTTCAAGATTAATTTTGGCTTTTAAAAAACTCTGAAAGTTTGTTACCTGCTGGATGTAACGATCAGTAGTCTTCCACATGTAGTAGAACTGGACCACGCTAGCTAATGACTTCCAGGGCAACTGCAGGACAACAAATAAATTCATTTAAATCTTCTGAGCTTTCCCAAATAGTGCAGTGTGTGAGAGCAAATGCTCAAGTACGGTGTTTCAAACTCACAAAGTCTTGGCGAATGTCATTGAAGTCTTTGCCATATTTCTCCAGAGCCTCCTCGAACAGCATGGCTTCTGAGGCGCTCCACTCTTCCATCTCGTCCCTGCACAGCACCGGGCCACCCTGCGGCACCAGCGTCGACATGGCCTTGGCGAGATCATAGCCATTCTTCTGCAGAGTGTCCATGGCGTGGAACTACAGAGAGACGGGACAGTGTGAATCTCAGATGTGCATGAAAACGCGAGTGAGGTGGCAGTGAATGAATCGCTCTTTTGAGTAGTTAAGGAAGAGATTGTGATTGGATGCTTTCATTCTCTCACCAGCGTGATGTCTCTAGATGCTGCCGCTGCGCTCATGTGCAGACTGGGTTGGCGGATTGAACTGCTGCAGTCTAGTGCACGTGCAAACGTACCAACAGCCCTAAAAGTACCCAATATTTGAATTAACATCATGCTAATGAATAAAACCATTTTAAAGCAACAATAATAATCGGTCTAAGAGTGAAATACTAACCGTGCCACCACCAGGAACTGGTCTATCTGAGGATCCTTCAGCTGGTTATTAGTATCCCAAACCTTTGTCTCAAGCTTCTCCTGCACTCGATTGTCTGAATCACCTGATGAGTGGGGAAAACATTGTATTAATGATTGGTTTTGAATTAGTGAATCAGTTTTGAATTAGCCATTCAATATCCAACACCTCTCCCTAAAATGTGTGCTGAAAATATCAATACCAGGATCTGAAGTACTGATGCAATATTGTGATGAGAATCATGCGAGTAGGACACATTGTAAACACTGTAGCTGTTTCAGCATCAGACGTCTGATATGGCCACTACTGGAACTTCTTGAAAATTTGAGGTTTTTTAGACATCAAAATGAAATTTTTTTTAGTAACACCAAGGCGTAGAGATGTTACAATCTTCTGACCTTCAGCCAGTTTGTCAGGGATCTCTGCCTGGTATTTGGATCCCACTCTGATCTCGCCCTGGTCAGCCAGCAGGGTCTTTTGCATTGGGTCAAACACCAGCGAGTAGAAGAAGCAGTCCTACAGAACACACACATTATAAAACACAAACACTTCATGCAGTTGGCCATTTGATCATTTTAAATCAAAAAAAGGTGTTCACTTGTCTAATAACTTGATTTTGCCTTATATCAACAGAAAAAAATAAAATAAAATGTTTTTAAATATATTTTTAAAAATACACTACCGTTCAAATTGGGAGCCGTTTTTTTTTTTTTTTTAATACTTTCATTCAGCATTTATAGTGTTATGAAATATTTCAATTTCAAATAATGCTGTTTCTATTCATCAGACAATGTAAAATGTATCATGGTTTCCACAAAAATATGAAGTAGGACAACGGTTTTTAACATTGATAATAAGAAATGTTTCTGAAGGATCATGAAGGAAGACTGGAGTAATGGCTGCTGAAAATTCGGCTCTACCATCACAGGAAGAAATTGAATTTTAAATTATATTACATATATAATTCATAAAAAGAAAAAAATAAAGTGCAGTGACACTAGATACTCACTAGGTGGGGATGTACACCTGCTTCAGCTTGCTGTCAGCCTCTGCTGCCTTTAGTCTTTTCTGGGGAGAAAAAATTGGTTTAAATAGCATTCGTATGCATGAATAAATGTTCACATTTCAAGATTAATTTTGGCTTTTAAAAAACTCTGAAAGTTTGTTACCTGCTGGATGTAACGATCAGTAGTCTTCCACATGTAGTAGAACTGGACCACGCTAGCTAATGACTTCCAGGGCAACTGCAGGACAACAAATAAATTCATTTAAATCTTCTGAGCTTTCCCAAATAGTGCAGTGTGTGAGAGCAAATGCTCAAGTACGGTGTTTCAAACTCACAAAGTCTTGGCGAATGTCATTGAAGTCTTTGCCATATTTCTCCAGAGCCTCCTCGAACAGCATGGCTTCTGAGGCGCTCCACTCTTCCATCTCGTCCCTGCACAGCACCGGGCCACCCTGCGGCACCAGCGTCGACATGGCCTTGGCGAGATCATAGCCATTCTTCTGCAGAGTGTCCATGGCGTGGAACTACAGAGAGACGGGACAGTGTGAATCTCAGATGTGCATGAAAACGCGAGTGAGGTGGCAGTGAATGAATCGCTCTTTTGAGTAGTTAAGGAAGAGATTGTGATTGGATGCTTTCATTCTCTCACCAGCGTGATGTCTCTAGATGCTGCCGCTGCGCTCATGTGCAGACTGGGTTGGCGGATTGAACTGCTGCAGTCTAGTGCACGTGCAAACGTACCAACAGCCCTAAAAGTACCCAATATTTGAATTAACATCATGCTAATGAATAAAACCATTTTAAAGCAACAATAATAATCGGTCTAAGAGTGAAATACTAACCGTGCCACCACCAGGAACTGGTCTATCTGAGGATCCTTCAGCTGGTTATTAGGATCCCAAACCTTTGTCTCAAGCTTCTCCTGCACTCGATTGTCTGAATCACCTGATGAGTGGGGAAAACATTGTATTAATGATTGGTTTTGAATTAGTGAATCAGTTTTGAATTAGCCATTCAATATCCAACACCTCTCCCTAAAATGTGTGCTGAAAATATCAATACCAGGATCTGAAGTACTGATGCAATATTGTGATGAGAATCATGCGAGTAGGACACATTGTAAACACTGTAGCTGTTTCAGCATCAGACGTCTGATATGGCCACTACTGGAACTTCTTGAAAATTTGAGGTTTTTTAGACATCAAAATGAAATTTTTTTTAGTAACACCAAGGCGTAGAGATGTTACAATCTTCTGACCTTCAGCCAGTTTGTCAGGGATCTCTGCCTGGTATTTGGATCCCACTCTGATCTCGCCCTGGTCAGCCAGCAGGGTCTTTTGCATTGGGTCAAACACCAGCGAGTAGAAGAAGCAGTCCTACAGAACACACACATTATAAAACACAAACACTTCATGCAGTTGGCCATTTGATCATTTTAAATCAAAAAAAGGTGTTCACTTGTCTAATAACTTGATTTTGCCTTATATCAACAGAAAAAAATAAAATAAAATGTTTTTAAATATATTTTTAAAAATACACTACCGTTCAAATTGGGAGCCGTTTTTTTTTTTTTTTTAATACTTTCATTCAGCATTTATAGTGTTATGAAATATTTCAATTTCAAATAATGCTGTTTCTATTCATCAGACAATGTAAAATGTATCATGGTTTCCACAAAAATATGAAGTAGGACAACGGTTTTTAACATTGATAATAAGAAATGTTTCTGAAGGATCATGAAGGAAGACTGGAGTAATGGCTGCTGAAAATTCGGCTCTACCATCACAGGAAGAAATTGAATTTTAAATTATATTACATATATATATATATATATATATATAAAAAACAGTTACTTTAAATTGTAATAATATTTCACAATGTTACTGTTTTCACTACTGTATTTTTGTTCAAATAAATGCAGCTTTGGTGAGAAAAAGAGGTTTCTTTAAAAAATATTTGTAAATTATGTAAATATGTAAGTTCAGTACAACAAATACTACCTTGACAAATCAATTATAGTTTTTTTTTGTAGTATTGTAGTTTTGTATAGTAATGAGAGTTGGAGTGAAAAAAATACCTTAATTCTTATGGAAATATCAATACAAAAAAAAAACTGTTCTTAAGAACAAGCTTTGTTTACTTAAAGCATAACAACATTTTTATTTATTTATTTATTTTTATTTCGGGAGTGAAACGTGACAGAACTTTTAACAGATTTCATGAGATTCACTTGTCATGTTATGGCTTGTCTCTCAGGGGCCGTTTACATGACAATGTTTTCAGCCAAATACGGGAAACTTTTTATGCGTTTTGCCTGTTCTTTACACAACAACGGCATTTTGGGGACTGAAAATGCATATTTTTGAAAACGGGTTTCAAAGTGCAAGTTTTAGAAACGCCACCGTTGTCGTTTCCGTGTAAACACCCAAAACGGGAACCTTTGAAAACGGTGACGTCATGCGTGTGCGTAGTACGTGTTAGGTATGTAGACATGCGCAGTGCATATCGATTTTAAAGGCAAGCGCACACAACAATGGCGGAGTATATGGTACTGTTGTTGCTGCTCAAGAGTTTGCTAACACTTCTTCAGCAAAGTGTGGATTTACTTCACCAATATTACAACCAACAGCGGAGACGCATCATATACAACATATAATCGTCACTTCCCTACAGGTACTGCTTACTAACAAGGTGACAGCGCCAACTACTGGCCTGGCATATGTAATACAGCGTTTTTGGCCATTTTCGCGGATGTGTGTAAACGCTAATCGTTTTGAAAACGTTGTCGTGTATACGTGAAACTTTTTCCAAAACCTTTTCCATTTTTTTGACTACATCGTTGTCGTGTTAACGTAGCCTCAATCATGGCTTTAGTGATGGTGGTAGCTTTGTGACACTCCATGATAAACCGTACAGTGAGTGCTCTTGTCCTGCAGGTGGACTCTTACCTCTCGCTCTAGGTAGATAGTTAAAGCATCAGTCTCATTCAAAAGTGTGACGTTGCATTTTCCTCTGTAGAAAAACAATAAGCCAAAACATGCATGGTATAAATAAGACTATCACTACAAATCAATCGTCTTATATACAGAGTCTGAGTCTGGGCTCTGATGGGATTATACCATTCAATCCAGAGATGTTTGTGTCTGTGAGTGCTGTGAGTGTATTTACCGTATATGTGTGGCCGGGAGAGACTCAAATTGTCGAGACAGGAACAGTTCTCTGTGCTTGAGCTGGTGTTTCTGCTGTTCTGACATTGAAGGCTGCTTGGACTCCTCTTCAAAGTCTCCTAAAATACACACACACACAAACATATGAGTGTGATGCTAATGGACTTAATTAGTTCTGATGTGAACCAGCTTCCTCTCAGAACACACAGACCAAATCTTAAGTTTACACATCCCTTTAGGTTATTAGTAATGGTTGTGAACTTGTGATCAATTTCACACTCATTCAGATACAAGTAACTTATATATCCTTCATGAGAATGGTTGACTTGTAAGGGAAGTAAACGATTATGTGCAGGTCCAACTCAAAATGACTTGAATTGAATGCATTTCAAGAACATTACTTTTGACTTTAACACCAATTTGCAACGCTAACAGAGATATTTCTTAAAAAGATGCTCGTGTGAGGTGAGGAGACTTGGCCAGCCGATCTGACCTGACTCCACCCCTGCACGGAGCTGAAGGAAACCCCGTCAATGAAGAGGGCGGGATATCAAACCACACCCCTTTCTATTAACCCCTCCTGCCACCCCGGTGGCCCTGCCCCCTCCTTTCTCTCCCCTTGGCCAATGCGTCCCTGCCAGCTTTCCTGGGAAACCCTGTGTAATAAACCTGAGGCGCCCATCCCCCCATTTATAAACACTTTCACTCCTTGACAAAGACAGCAGCCAGACAGTGTTAACCTAGTGTTAACCCTTTGAGCAGCGTGGCCCGGTGGGTCCCATGAAGGCCCTTTTGTTCTGAGAGCACAGGGTGGATGGCAGCTGAGGATAAGCACAGAGGAGCCTATTCAGGACGGGGAGGGGGGGGGGGGGGGTTAATGGAGGAAGATGGGCAGAAGGTAGCGAAGGGAGGAGGTGATGTAAATGGGAGCCCTGATCTTGTGTAACAGGACAGTGCTGGTGCTGTAGAGTGCCGCGAAATAAAGAGGATACGTTCAGTAGTAAACAGGCCGCCAAGCAGACATTGACCCCTCATGACTGCAAAGGATTTGAACGTTAACTCCAGCCCATGCCAATGCAACCTCCTCAACTCAAACCTGACCCTACTCTGAAATGGTTAGGTAAATACACTGCATTACAACAGTTTTACGGCAGTTCACGTACACAAAATTTACATACAAATGAACCACTACCTCAGGCATGTCGAAGAAATAAAAAATCTTTCAGACATGTGGGATGTTTGCAGCTGTGTTATACAAATATTTAGGAATGTGCAAAGCTACACGTTTTCAAAATCAACTAGTCAGTGGGTTATCTGAATGACTAATCAAAGCAACCCTATCAGATGCATTTCTCAGAGGGCGCTCTCATAGGATGTTTTTAAAAATGGAACAACAGAGGGCATCGGTTTCCAGACATTTTTCGATGTTGAGATTATTAATGAGAATTTGCACCACTCATTGTGTGGTGCAATGGACAAAGACAATTATCTGTATGTGTGAAGAACAACAGCGTGAACTGAATTCAAGAACTCAAGTTCTTTCAACAGGACAATTGACAGATACTCAAAAATAGATCATAAGGCTGAATATCAATAGCATTTTAGTGCACAAAACCAACATACCTCAAAAAAAAAAGGATGAGATGGTCACGCTTAATGTCTGAAACACTACTTAAACCAGCTGATAAAAGTCTAGCAGTAAATGTCTCAAATGACTAGTATTTTAAAATTAGTGATGCAACGTAGAGAACTTTAGAAAAAGAAAAAAAACTCACTAAATCTACGATTGCTTTACTAGTCAACCATCCTGTCCATTCCTAATTATAATGGAAGTGATCTAGTTTTGTTTCTTGTGTAGACTGGTGTCCCTCTGCTAAATCCTTCTGTTTTGTCCTGTCGGCACCTGTACCTGAATAGAAATCTCTGGATTTCTGAAGAAGGAAAATGCATGCAATTCAAAACATTCTACAAATGCACATCCCTTTGAGTGTTTATTTAGTAAACAAGTAAATATTTCAGATAATTAGATGACACTCTCAACCATCAATACAAGAGACTAGTACTACTCCACTGAGACATTTTACCATAAATTAGGCATGAAATAAAAGCTTGTTAATTGCTGCAATCTCATGTGAGTGACAGGTTACTGTTATTGTCCTTACGCTGGTGTACATATAATGTTGTGCGAGTGAGAGTACATTTTAGATTAAAGGGGTCATCAGATGCAAAATTCACTTTCACATGGTGTTTGAACATAAATGTGTGTTGGCAATGCGTGTACACAACCACCCTATAATGATAAAAATCCACCCAGTGCGGGTTTTTTTTTTTTTTTAAATCCCCAAAAATAATACCCCCTTTCTCAGATCAAGCCATTCACAGATTCTGGCCTGATGTACGTCACACAGACCCACCCTGAGTGAGCTGTCATCAGTCCACCACTGTTTTAACACCGGAGCAAGTGTAGACAAGAATGTCTCCTAAGCGACTGAGGTGTTGTTGTTGTTGGATGTAATAATTAACATAGCAGTCGTCGTTTACTCCCGACAACTGAGCCGCTGAAGATTACATTTGTTTTTGAAAGTAGACAAGAATGTCTCCTAAGCGACTGAGGTGTTTTGTTGTTGGATGTAATAATTAACATAGCAGTCGTCGTTTACTCCCGACAACTGAGCCGCTGAAGATTACATTTGTTTTTGAAGGGAATGCGCCCCCCTGATCTATCTAAATGCGTTTATGTACGCGCGAATCATTCATCATCCAGCTTCACCTCCAGAAGAAGTGAGTTTTTTTTTTGCAATCTTTGCCAATCGCTTTTCCTAATAATGTGCTAGTTAGCAAGAAGTCTGCTTAAGTTTACAGTCTCGTGAGAACGGCTCGTTGCCCCACAGAAGAGAGGGGCGGGGTGAGCAGAGCTCATTAGCATTTAAAGCAATATGCACAGAAACCGCTCGCTGTGAACAGAGCTGTTTCTGACAAGGTAAAAGGGGTGTTGTTTTACACTACCATTGATAAATTTTAACCAAATTATGTTATAGACCCTAAAGAATCATATCAACTTAAGGAAAATGGGCATCTGATGTCCCTTTTAAAGATTATGAGGGCACATGAATTAGAGAAAAAAAAGAATTGTTTTGATATTTTGAAGTCAACTTTTATGTGATGAAAGTCGAGTCGAAGTCGACTAGTCGCCGATGACGTCATTAATGAACAAATAAGTCTGGAGCTGTGACAAACACCTTGTGAACAGCTATGGCATATGACAGCGCTGCCCACACGGCTGTTGCTCCTATAACATCTTTTTTATCAGTTCTTTTGTCTTTGGGTCGTTATATTTCTCACAGATTTCTGCTCGTTCTAAATCAGATACAGATAAAGTAGCACAGTAAAGATTACATTAATATGAGTGCATTAGTGAGAGCGATTGCGTGTGTGAATTAATTCTACCTGGTAGCGTCTCTCTACTAGTAGTGAAGCTGTGGAATTTAGTTATTAAGAAATATATGCTTGAACTTTTCAGTTTCTAAGCTATTTTACTGAGAAATCACAGAACAGTGTTGACAATACATTTCCGCGCTGAATGACTCTGTGCGC